ATGCAGTAGGTAACGTATAAAGGGGCTCGCAATATTTCAAACTTCTCCATGGGCTTTTCAGGCCTATTAGTTGGACACAGATTTCTCTAGGTGTTAGGTGGAGATTTCAATCTCGATTCTCATAAATATGATTTAAACCATATTAAATTAGCAGACATTTGTAACTCATACGGACTCAGGGACATTATCGATGGACCAACCCGAATATCAAACACCACTGCGACCACAATTGACCATTTATTTGTTAATTTTCCTCTAACGGGAAAGGTAAATGCACTTGATAACCTCTTTTCAGATCATAAGGCTGTTTATGCTGAGCTGAACATACATAAAGTAATCCGTGACTCAAAAACATCGTATCAAGGACGATCATATAAAGCATGGCAGGTGGATAATTTTTCGAGTGAAATAAGTAAAGAAAAAAATGGCAGAATTTATATCAGATTGAAAATATTGATGATGCTTTTGCATATTTTCACAAAATATTTACATATCACTTTGAAAACAATTTTTCGTAAAAAACTAAATTTATTTGTTTAGAAAATAAGGGTTGAGTAGATTCAGAAGTAAAAATTTCAAGCTCTGATTTGAAGGATTTATACAGGATATCGAAACAATTTTCTTAATTGAATGTCATCTAAAAGTCAGCAAAATACTTGTAGAAAATAAGAAAATGTTTTATCAAAATAGAATATCTAACACCGACAACTTGAATAAAACGTGTTGGCCATAGTTAAGGAGTTAACCAAAAAAATGTAATTATCCGAATAATATTTCTCTTTTCGTTGACGGTGGAGAGCCTATAGACAATGCCGAAATAGTGGCAAATCTGTTCAACAATTTTTTCAAACAATTGCCGTACAATGTAATAAACAACATTCCACAAACAAAATATTCCGTTTATTTTGTTTCCATTGTGGATTATTTCAACAAAGTCAATAGACATAAATGAGAATTCACAATATGAGAAGTTTATCGCTAATATAGGGAAATTTTCCTAAAAAATATATAAGTTCCTAAAATGAGAATGCATTACAAAATAATAAAAAATATAACAATAATTCAACGATTTGAGGAAAATAGGCTTTTTAACTTCTCCATTTTAAAACGAGTGCTTCATCTTGTTATTCGAAAAAGTTCTCATAATGTGTTTTATTCCAAAACTTCGAAGCACGCCTTTGAGACTGATAGTGTTTCATGTGAATGATATTTCATATCGTAACTCTTTCACATATTATATCGTGTATCGTTTCTATGAATAATATATGTTTCAATTCCATAAAGATTATTTGGAGTACGAACTGAATAGAAAAAACTATATCTGCATAATTCAATGTTCACGTGGAAATAATTGTTTAGAAAAAACGTTTTTTTGTGTAATTCAGTGTTCACGTAAAAGTAGTTGTTTCGAAAGGCCTTTTCATTCCGGTTTTGATCTGAAAGTAACTTCTATGCATGATCTACACATTTTTGTTAATAGTTCATTTTGAAAACAATAGCTTGAAGATGTGGAAAGACAAAACTTTTCTCCCAAAAACTAATCTCTCCTAAAAAATATACCCATTCTTTCTTTCTTTGAACATCTCCTCACCAGTAATTGAACAACTTGATATATTTTTTTTATATAACGAAAGGAATTAATTTTAATTTTTTTTTACTTTTTTATTTTTATTTTCTTTGTAATTTTATTGTAAATTATTTCCTTCCGCACAGATTCCTCGTTCCAGGTAATTTTGGAAATCTCCAAGCCTTAGGGCGTCATTCATGGTGTATGCAACGGCTATTTTAGCAACTAAGTAGTCGTCTTTAGATGGGATATTTTCTTTGTTATCATCCGAGCTATGCTCGATTTCTGCTCGTCGATGAGTCGAAGCATTTTCGTTGAGAGGATAAAGATTACATGCTTTTATTCCATTTTTCACTCACAGCTCAAAAAGTGTCTTTGAAAAACGAGCAGAAGTTTTGCTTGGTACTGAGATCCTTTTTTGAGTGTAATGTTGGAGAACATTTTTCCAATCAACTTCCAGTGACCTGAAAATGCTTACGACACATGGCTGCTTTAGATGAGGCGTTCGGGAGCAAACAGTACACAATAATTCCATTTTGGGTACAGAAACAAGATGTCGCAGGTACCATCCATCCAGAATCAGAATGTCCAAAAGCCCAGCTATGCATGACCTTGATTATTCTGACAGATATTAGCTTATATTGATGAACTATGGATGGCCACAAGTCAATAAAAATATTCTCGGACAGTCAAACGGTGTTAGTAGCTCTTGGCTCCTACCGAGCAACGTCTAAATTGGTAGCAAATTGCCAAAAACGACTCTCCTCTATAGGAAGACTTAACAGATTGTCTCTGGTCTAGATTCCTGGCCATACTGGCCTGGAAGGCAATGAAGCTGCTGACTCCCTTGCAAAGGAGGGTGCTGCAAGCAGCTTCATCGGACCAGAACCTGTCATTGGCATCGCTTTAGGCTTTGCCAAACAAACATTGAAAGCCTGCATGATAAGAAGATTTATGGACTTCTGGCAGAATCTTCCAGGATTGGCTCACGCCAAGGCATTTATTCATCCTTTGAAGCCTAATACCAAACAGTTGTTGGACTACAGTAGGGATGAACTACGATGTCTAATAGGCCTTCTTACAGGTCACTGCCATTTGAATCATCATATGCAGAGACTCGGACTGTCGGAAGACAGTGTGTGTCGCATCTGTTTGGAAAATGATGAAACAGCAGAGCACATACTTTGTGCCTGGCCTGATAGGGACCGAATCAGGTTCTTGGAGTTCGGCAGATCCGTACTCTCACCATCTGACCTAAAAGACCTCTCACCATACAAACTAATCGGCTTCGTTAAGAAGCTGGGTTCATTTGGCCGAGTGTGAATAGGTGTGAGCCACAATAAACCCTTGCGGGTTGCGGTGGAGGGTCGAATAGGCCCACTCGCTTTAGACCTAACCTAACCTAACTATGGCTGGCGATGCATCGCCAACGGTCCCCACATATGGACTCTGAACCAGATGTGAAGGTACCAAAGTATTTGGTACGGAACCAGAATAAAAAATGGGCCTTTAAGAAACACACATGGGAAAACCTTGATAGAGGGACCGACCGACAGAAAAACTGCTTCAACAAAGCACAAATTGGCCCAGAACTATCACAGGGTAACTTACTGAACACTGACCATTGCGAGGATTGTACAACTAATAGCCCAGCTGCAACGACGTAAACGAAATTTCGTAAATTTTGAGTCATTCAAATAAGTTCTATAATGGGCACCTTTTTTAAAAATTCAATCGACTTTTTATTTCTCACGGTTCCTAATTTTTCCATGCTGGCCCCCCTTATCTTTACTTTTTGAAGGCTTTCGTTCTACGAACACCTCGCGATTTTTTGACTACATTCCCAAAAATTTTTTTCTGTTCGTATTTTCGCGCCCAGCGTGCCGGGTGATGTCACGCGCGCCACGTTGTCGGAATTATCAGTGACGTTGACCCCAGCAATTCACTTGTGGTTCAGCCTAGCACCACTGATCAGACGGGTCGAAATACCGCTGTCTGGCGTTGAATCATAAATGCGTTGTGTTTGGGCTCTGTTCTCAGATATTTTCATAATAATTTTAAGAAGAAAGACTTATTGTTTCATATAAACACATACCAAAGTTGGAAAGGTTTTGGGATGAAATATCAAACAATATCAGTTGTTGTCTGTATTCATTGAATCTATCCCTTTCTGTAAAATAAGTACCTATAACTTCCCAACTGGAGTTAATTTTTGACTTCTCCAGTTCATGTCCAGTTCATGTCCATGTCCAGTCCACGTCCATAAAGTCGAGAATTCTCAACTACGCCAAAAGGCGTTTCTCCCTTTGTTTCATTGAAGGAGTTTTATTGGCTTTTGCCAGAAAGCACAATGGAAAAGAAACTCGGATAACAAAAACTCCACCCAAGTAGATGCCGCTGTGTATCCAGGGTAGAGAAGAGCTCAAGTTGCTGAGCTCGTCTTCAAAGGAATATGAAAATCTAAAGTTGGATTCGAAGAACCTGGGTCCGGGAAACTCACCTTTTCAATAATTATTTCATACATTTTTTTTTACTTGACGAAGTGATGTGAATGCAGCATTGACAGACGAGTACAACGGCTATTCCATTTCAAAAATTGTTTGGTATTAGGAGGTATTCAATTCTACTATATGAGATAAATGGGCCAAAGTACAAAACAGCAAGTCACCATTAGACAACATTGCTTTATTCAGACTTTCATTACAGTTTTTCATTCAAACGTATTACTTACAGTTCACATATGTCTCTAATTGGGTAAATGGTTTCATTAACATCATTATATTAAATTCCTTTGTGTCTGTTCAACTGATGTGTATAGTGATTAATATTGCTACGATTGAATAATTTGTCAGTAATTTCCTCACAGGTCAGTGTTTTAAAACTCTCATGAAAAATAAAAGTTGAAAAACCAATAGTTATATGGGTATAAACAGCGTGAGTTACAGTAAGAATAGAATTCTAAAATGCACATTGATTCATTAAACAAAGTTTACATTCTTATGTATATGAGTAGAGTATATTTTATATACTATATATTGTATATTACAAGTATCAATCTCGTTATGTACATTATATGTTATTTATTATTTGAAGAATCATACTTAAGTTTGTTAGGGAGTGCGTTAGGATCAGAGCTCCGGACAGCCCTGGACATTATCTTGTTGGGAGTACTGGATGAGACAGCCCTGAATATCACCTGATAAGTTTACATAAGAGGATGGTACATTCCTTTGTGTGTTGAGATATGTTTAAATGGGGCAGGCTGAAACTGGCATTGTTGTTGAATAGACTAATAAATGTTATAAAGTTGGTGGTGTTATAAGTGTTTCAATATCGTTGTTAGCCAGTGGGGCATTCCTAACATCTCAGAAGAGGGATCTACGTCGTTTTTTTTTTCTTACGCTCCACGGTGAATGTTTGAAGACGCCGTAGGAGGTCGAGTGCCTCAGAATCTTCATCTTCATCAAGTTCTGAAGAGTCGTCTAGCAGCAGTGAACCCAAACGACGAGCACATAGAGAGAAATCGGGTAAACGTAAAGGTCGGAGGTCCAGGGTAAGAAGCACCTATTTTGATTTTTGTGAAAGAGGTGAGTCGAAAAATGTTTCTACAATTTGTGAATTTGACCCAAAGTCTGATTCGGTTAGAGACTAGTTAAGTATTGTGGATCAACATGCAACATGTTTTGAATGGGACGATAATACAACAAAAACTATTGCTTTGAGTAAACTTGGAAATACTGCATCACAATGGTTTCAAACTTATATTCAAACGGAAATCGGTTGGGCGAATTATTCGTGGGCTAAATGGAAAAAAATTCTTTCTACCACATTTCAGTCTGTTAGGAACACCCATAAATTTTTATGGAAGTTGCGAATCACAAACCATTTGAGGGGGAATCATTGTAAAGTTTTCATTTCGATCACCTAGCTAAAATAGAAGCATTGAAAGCGAATTTTTCAGACGCTGATAAAGTGTCACTTATTGATGGCGCAATCGGGGATGACACGGTTGCGTCGGCTGTGAGAGCAGCTAATATTACAGATCTCAATATTTTAGCAAGTTATTTGAGGGACAGAACATATGCTGAGTCAGGGCCAAGTCACAAACAAATATATAACAATACTTCAAATATCAAACTAGAACAGCCAAAACCTACTGGGAAGAATGATAAAAATTCAAAAATACAAAGCACTCAAATTAAATGCTTTCATTGTAATAAACGGGGACACAAAAGAAGCGAGTGTAGAAGTTATAATATAAGGAAGTGCAATTTTTGTCATAGAAAAGGTCATATCGAAGCCGATTGTTACTCACAAAAAAGACAGACCGAGGTAAAATCAGAGAAGTTCATAGAAAAACCACAAAAAATTAATGTGATCGAGAGTTCCAATAAAGATAAATTCTATCGAAAAATTAAAATCAATGACACTTCCCTTTGGGCTTTTATTGAATTTGGTAGTGACTGTTCTATTTTGGAACATGAATTGGCACAGGAGCTTGGACTAAAAGTGTGCAAACTATCAGTTCCTGCATTATTATCAGGTTTTTTAGATAACATTACAAAGGTAGACGAGATTGTCGAGGCTTCTGTAACAATCGATCAGATAACATTGCTTTGTCGATTTTATGTTATCAATTCTTTGTCAGTTGATTGTCAGTGTATAGTTGGTAGAAATTTTACTGAAAATATCGCAATTAATTACCAAAGAGTAGGCAATGACTTAACATTCAGTTATGCACAGGAACCTCTAGAGAAAGTTGAAAATATTTTAAAAATTTCGATTCACTCTGATCAAGAGATGAACGACCTGTTACGTGAAAATAGTGACTGTGTAGCTTCTTCTCTCAAATCACTTAAGGGTATTAAAAAGTTCTTGATGAAAATTCAACTTTGTCACCCGAAAGTTGTTGCACGAAATCCGTATAGGTTGGCACAAAGTGAAAAACCAATAGTCAGAAAGTTGGTGTCTGAATTATTAGAAGCAGGAATAATTCGCGAAAGCAGTTCTCCGTTTGCTAGTCCTATTTTGTTGGTAGATAAGAAAAATAATGAAAAACGTTTGTGTGTCGACTATAGAGAGCTTAACAAAATCACTATTAAAGAAAAATCTCCTCTCCCTTGTATAGAAGATTTGATAGATAGATTGAAGGGATGCCGATTTTTCACAAGTCTTGATTTCAAATCTGGCTACTATCAAATTCAGATGCAC